GGTCATATCCGATCTGTGCCACATGGGAGGAAAAAAATTGAATTGGGGTCACTTAACCATTTAATATAAATGCAGCCTTTGTGAATGCAATATAAGATTAGTGACACTATAGGAATTTAATCCGGCACCCACTCTCTTGTAATATCACTTTAATTATTAGGCTACTGGACATTTTGAAAACCTTTTTATAACGTGCACTTTGAGAAGTTATTCTTATTTATATACATACACACACACACACACACACACACAAAGTATATTAGTGATCTCTCTCTCTCTCTCTCTCTCTCTCTCTCTCTCTCATCATCTCTCTCTCTCTCTCTCATCATCTCTCTCTCTCTCTCTCTCTCTCTCTCTCTCTCTCTCATCTCATCTCTCTCTCTCATCTCTCTCTCTTCTCTCTCTCATCTCTCTCTCTCTCTCTCTCTCTCTCTCTCTCTCTCTCTCTCTCTCGCTCATACATCAGTATGTGTTTAGTACTGCACGCGCACTGGAGCCCGTGAGCGGAGACGAGGCTCGTTTAGTATTCCGTGCACAAGGCGAAGGAGAGAGAAGGGAGGGAGGGGATAGAGTGAAATAGAGAAAAAAACGAGGCTGTGAAGACAGGCAAAAACACAGAAAGAGAGGAAGAAGAGGGGAGCGGAGAGACTCCTCTGTCCCTCTCGGTCTACTCTTTGACATCCGTCTGTCCCAGGTGCGGTATTTTAGCCTTTATCTGTCTTTGGGTGTGCGGGGCGGATGTTATGATGTTGCTGTTGTAACGCGTCGCATGAGAAAAAATTATATTTGGATGAATGTAAGCTCGAAGAAGAGAGTGTGCATATAATGTAGACAGTCGTTCCGTTCGATCTGCATTGCTTTAAACGGTACAGTCTCTCTACGAATTGTTGTGTTAAGGTTATCCATAATATGTCTATTTGTGGCGCGCGCGCTTATATGTTGTCTGCACGTCTGTCCGTATCGTCGTTCAAAAACCTCTCAGTTGCTTTAGTAATCTCTTTTATCTATTGCAAAATAATGCATGAATATGTGCTGAGCATCGTGACCTCGCATTTTCAGATGTGCATATGTGTGTGTGTGTGTGCAACAATGTATAGATTGATCATCAGTCAGTTAGACTGTCACTTATGTAATTCTGTTCTTAACTTCTATATTTTCTACTCTACATGCTTAATCTGCTCATGCATATGTAATATGCAGGAGGCAAGAATGTAAAATGTGCATATGAAGCTGCTTCCCTCCTCTTCAACCCCTTATCAATGTTCCTTTCCCTCCAAACCCCACCCCTCCCCACAGTCTTCAAAGGCAGGCTTACATAGGCTTCTTTCAGGCACAGGACCATAATTATGCAAATATTAATACGTCCATATGGAACCGTCACAGGAATCCTCTCTCTGTCGCTCCCTGACAGCATATAACGGCATTCGTAAAAGCCATATGAGGGGGCGATTAATTCCCCCCACAATGTGACGGAGCGGGTGATGACGTTGCCTGGCTGTCGGGCTGCCGAGAGCTTCCCTCTACACTCTTATCTGTGTGGGAGCTGAATCTTAAGGGCTGGCGCAGAACGTCACCAGTATCCCAGGGTTCCTCGCACTGCTCACTGCTCTTTCTTTTGCCTGTGTTTTCCCGTGTGATGTTATAGATAATTTAGATACTCTGAGGGCCTGGACAGAGGAGTGCAGGAGAGAGAGAAAAAAGGATGGGAGGGAGTAACCAGGCCTACATGAAATCTGCAGGTTTACTCAGAATTGGGATGTGTCCAACCCCCCCGCGTATTTCTTTATTAAATACTTGGACTAATTTGATTATTCTTGTGGTTTATGTTTGAATGTATTCCATAGAAATCCCCCAAATCCATGCAGAAAAAGTCTGCAGATTCCATCTGGGCTTGAGGGTAACTTGCAGCAGAGTTTCACCGCAGTAGCCACATGCATGTTCGACTGTTTTTGTCAAAGAAACAGGACTAAACTCTTTTTAGACACTGAAAACAATGTTACGACATGCTCTAAGCTACCTCAGCTTGCAACCACAAGCCGCAAAGGCCCAAGGTATCCTTTTTTTACAGTGATATGTAATATCACCCCGGCCTGTCTTTGGCCAGTGGCAGAGGTTCGGTTGTGTAAATGACAGCAGCTGTTGGCAGGGCAGTTTTGATGTGTGTTTAATAGCCAGTGAATACGCTGGACACAGGAGGGGATGGAGAAAGTGTCCAGGAACTCACAGCATCGTGGCAGATATGAGCAAGACGATGAGATGACGCAGTGATCTGGCTGAGTGTTCCTAAGTAGAGGTTGTGGCCGCACTGAAGGCCGTTTAGCCTGGTTTCCTCTCCCAGTGCATGAGATCAGTGATTTAAGGGAGTGGAATGGTACGAAAGAGGCAACAAAAGAGGAAGGAAGGGTTAGAAAAGCAAGAGAGCATTGGAGGGAGGGAGATGAAGAGAAATTTCTTCATCATGAGTCTACTAAAACTGCGTTGTTATCATTTATTCATTCATTCCCACTTTGCAGGAAGTCTGGAAACACTTTGCTTTAAAGCCAGAGGGGTAAAGAAAATTACTGTTATCTTCCAACAGGTTTTAAAATACAAAAACACACCATTCTTACAGAAAACAAAAGCAGATTAGTCTCCCGATGACATTGCAGATTAGACCACAGGCATGGGGTGATACAGTGAGTGAGAGAAAAAAGGGAACGTAAAAGAATGAGAGAAAGAAAAACCACAACTGCTTCATTAAGAAATTACTCTAATATCCTATTGGTTATACTTAATGGATTTACATCCCTTGTCAATAGAAGTGTTCAAATTCATAGCCTCAGTAGAGAAGAAAAGGATTAGCCATCATTTTTCTTTTACAATTCGTCTCAGTCACATCTATCAATTTCAGGGGAATAGGGGAAGTTGTAAGGCAGGTTTCCATTGAGTAAAGAGGCAAGACGGGAAAACTTCAAAAGGAGGCAGGAGAAACTACAAATGCTTCGTACATTACAAAATGTTAAATGTGCCTCATATTTGCCTGATATTCTCAGTTTATCCTAATGGCTTTTTGAGGTAAATTAAATTTTTACAGTATCTGATAAAATTGATATTTAGGCTGCTATTGAAACCAGACTATAGATACAGTTTATATTTAATTAATTTATATCCTTTGTTAGAAGTGTTCAAATTCATATAGTCTAAAGGTCCTTGCACACTGATTCCGAAATTTTCATATGCGTTTTTTGTATTCGTCATTCGTTGGCTCTGAATTGTCAAAACACCTCTCAAAATGCTTGCTACGGATGCGAAAAACGCAGAAAATGAAACCCGATAAATTTTTTTTATGAGGCAGTATGTGAACGTGATTGACACAACCTGAGGTCGTATTTATTTTTTAACATGTGAAAATTTCGGACGAGAATTTCGGACTTAAGAAGAGAAGAGAATTTGCTTGGTTTACCAATATAGACATCATTTATTATAATTAAGTATTGTTATTATTAACAACAATAATATTTCTAATTATTATTATTATTTCTTTAAAAAAAATAAACCAAGCAACATTGCTTAATCTGGATGCATTTTTGGTGGGTAGATGACTGAATTTTCAGTTTGAAGCTATAATTGTCCTGTTTAAATATTAAAGAGACGAATCATTTTTAAAAGTTGCATTTGGAGATGGATTAGATGGATCAGAGATAGTTAGGATCCCATGACAGCTCTGAATTCCATTACACAGCAACTGAAACATCTGATTATATTTATATATCTGTATATTTAAACACTAGATTTGACACTGGAAAACGGGCCAAAGAGCCGTAATACTGAAGCAGAATTCCAAACAAAAAATAGAGGAATTTTATTTGCTATAAAGTTTTATCCGTGTGCATTCTCCCTAAAATGTGCCATAATGTGTATGGTTTGTGTGATGTTTATATATTTGATCCTGCGTGTCCAAGAATGGAGGACACAGCTTCCAGCCATTTTGAGCATCATCTTTTGCAGATTTTACAGCAACTTAACCATTAGCCTACAAACTGGTCAACCTAAATAGGCCACCGGACATTGCCTGCGGGACAAAACGAATTGCATCATTCTTTATTGGCTTGAATAATTTCACCTCAGGGCTGAGGACAGAACCTCAGACCCATCTGCTCTCTGCTGTAGATACAGGCAGTGACCTGAGTGACAGCTGCTGATCTGTGGTGTTGAAGGACAGCCCCCTGACACATCTCAACCTAAGACACCTGACAGTTATGTAGTGAATGCCAGGTGTCTTATGTATGAACAGTCAGCAATATTATCATTGTCAGTAACTTGCCTTATGATAACACATTTGTGAGTGCTAGCTGCAGTTATTTAGAGGTTATTAGGACCTGTTATATCGTAGGATCACCTCATTTGTCACGGTTTATCATGTCCGCCAAAGCGGTCTGCAAATCCGCTTGAATGGATCAAACTGGTGGAAATAGACTAATTACAAGTTTAAAATGAATCCACTCGGATATCATCGCTTTCAGTCACGTCAGTGAAATGAAATGACAATCTGTGAGCCATTTTTAGAGGCCACGCAGATTTTAGATTAAACCGCTTTGCCTGTGACCTTTATTACGTGCATTATTTTACAAGGATTTATAGACTAATAGTCAAAAATGGTGATTATTAATGATTGGCAATCTACAAAATAACAAAACAAAATATGCTTTTTTTACTCTATTATTGTAGTTTTTTAGTAACTGAAAAAATTCATTTTGTGACTGAACAGAATTTCAAAGTTACATTTTCAAATTGTTTTGTAAGGTAAAATGTTTTTGATCTATTTTACTTTTTGATTTTTGGTCAGCATTTGAGGTAATCTCTTCTGCTTTGGGACCGCTTACTGTACAGCGACCTGATCTAGTCTTTCTGCTTTCCGGTTTAAACTGGTCATCTAGGTGTTGTGTGGATTGTCTAGACACCAAACAAGAGCTGCAACCTTAAAATGTTTACGTATGTAATGGCAATGCAATTATGGCCATTTTGATGGATGTCACTGAACATTGACCTTTCCGGTTGTGTGTGTCTGTGTACATATCCATGTAATCATTGCATTTTGTTATAGATTTTCATCTGTAATGTGTGATTGGACTGGGGCTTTTGTGGCCTTTATGACATGATTGGAATGTGGCAATTCCACCTGGCTTGCGTGTGATTGGACAGTGACCATACAGGTTCCTGGGGTCCCTGTTGTGGGATAATGCTTTTCCTGGAGCTATTGATTGAGACCTGGGCAGCAGTCAATGGAATGTCTGAGATGGGTTTCATGTTCTGTTGGCCGATTGTTTCATGTCGGTGTCACTTGCATGGATTTTACCTCCACATTATTCTTTTCCTGCTTTTTTTCAAGACGCACCGCCTATAATACCCCAGAGCGTCAGTGTAGTTTTATTACAGTATATCAATTGTAAATTCATATCCTCTAGAAATTTACACTAGCATCAAGATGCTTTTTCTGTCTAGACTTCAATGCCAAATGTTATATGCCCTTTTCTGTGTCTGACTACTTTTTCTTCTCAAGCTTTATAGTTTATGTCTCTCTCTTGCTTTTTCTTTCATTGGCTCTTTCTCTCACCTGCTTCCCCATTTCCAATCCTCTTTAACTTTGTTCTGAATCGCTCTGGCATTTCTGGACAGTGACACTGTAGTTTGCTGCCAGACGGCCATCTTTCACAT